CCTCCTGTGCTCTGGTATACATATAAAGTACACTTTTCCTCACTCACCTTTGGATCGAGTGGAGATATCCATCCCCTCCACCACCTCCTGCTCTGCCTTTATTTCCTCTTCAGCCAAGCTACAGGAGTTAGAGAGAAATTTAGAAAAGTTATTTTCATATTTAGGTTCATGCACAAAAGCCTTAAGTGGCACTTTCAAATATTTATGGCCACAAATCTAATCTCCTCTAACTTTAAAGGTTCATTCTCAGGTGGAGTATACACTATCTTGCCTCTGATACATGAGGAGCTGGTTTAAAAGGCAGCTTCCCACAAGCACTGGATATACCTCCCCACACACACACTGCTGCCTCTGACAGACCCCCTACAGACAGGAGCTGCTGTAGGGGAGCAGTCTCAGTCCATGGGAAGCTTGGACCCCTTGCGGGCATGGCCTGCTGTGACCCTGCGCTGCTACCTCTGTATCAGAGGCGACAGCACAGGGTGCCAGGGGGCTCCCTGGGAGTGGTATCAGAAGCACACAGGCAGCCGGCCCCGCCTGCAGAGACTATTGAATAGTCATGTAATCACTAAAATTGTATGTGGTTACACAACTATTCAATTACATGCTATCTAACAGCCCTATTCTTCAACAGTTGTGGGCAAAAAAATTTTATGAGAGCCACTCTAAGCATTTGCTAAGTGGTCAAGGGCTGTACTCTTCCACATTAAGGAAGAGGTGCGGGGTCTGGGATGGAGGTTGGGTGTAGAAGGAAGATCAAGGAAGGGATTGGAGTGCCAGAAGTAGTGTGGGGTCTGGAAGGGTGTTTGGGTGAAGGAGGGGGTTGTGACCTAGGAAAGAGGATGGGGTGCAGGATCGAGGTATGGGTGTAGGAGAGGATGTGAGTGGGGGTATAGGGTCTGGGAGAGGGTTGTGACCTGGGGTATGGGGTGCAAAAATCTGGGCTGTGACCTGGGGCAGGGGATCAGGGTGCATGGTCTGGTAGGAGGCATGGGTGCAGGGTTCAGAGTGGGAGAGGGTTTAGATTGTGATCTGGGGCAGAAGCACAGGAGGTTGGAGGAAGGGAGGGTGGGAGGGGCTGGGATGCCATGTCCAGGATCTGGCTGGGAGTAGGGATGTTAAATATTGGTTAACTGAAAGGTTAATCGACTAATCAGTTACTCAACTATTCTATAGTCCCCAAGGTTGGGGCAGCAGCCAGTGTGCTCTGGGCCCACTCCCCAGGAGCCCCCTGCCACTGCACACTGCTGCCTCTGTATCAGAGACAAAGCGTGGGGTGCCAGGCGGGAGCTGGTCTGTGAGGGGAGCCAGTTTAAAAACCAGCTCTCCTCGCAGACTGGCTACCTGTTGCCCTGTCTGGGGGAGGGAGAGGTCCAGAACCCCCAGACCCAGTGCAAGCGGGAACTGAGCCAGGCTGCCTGGCCACTTGGCTCCTAATACTCGTGCTGCAGTTGCATTTAAAGTGTATGTCCCAGTTCCAATGCAAGCTGGGACTGAGCCAGGCTGCTGGCCAGCCTGCTAAAAAAAATGTACTGGGTGGGGGAGGGGAATGCATGTAGTCTATAGTGTTTCTCAACAAGTGGTACAAATACCCTTAGGGGTACTTGAGAGAAGTCTGGGGAGTACATCTACACAACATTTTTGTTTTAAGTTTTATAGCAGTTTATTATTTTTGTACTTTTTATATCCAAAAACTACATTGCCTGCCTGGCTACAATTAAGTTGTTTAAACAAATGGGTTGCAATGGTAGAAAAAAAAAGTGTGTGTGTGTGTGTGTCTGAAAACTATAGGTACGGAGGGGTACTTACACTTTTTTTTAAAAGAGATACTTTATTTAAAAAGGTTGAGAAACACTATAGTATTAAGCTATAAGCTCGTTTATCAGTTAATCAACTATACTATTACATCCCTAGCCAGGAGGTGCTTACCTAGGTGGCTCCTGGCCAGCTGCCCAACGAGACCTCGGGCAGATTCCTTGCCTTCCATGCTACTTCTCAAAGTGGCCAGCTGTGGGGGCCATATGCTCTCTGAGCACTGCAAACCCCTAGGGGTTTCCAGCCAATGAGAGCTACAAAATTATTCTGGGGGCAAAGGCAGCATGCAAAGCCCCTCCCCACAAGGCTCACATCACATAGAGCTCATGGCCTGTGCAGCTAGCCACTTTGAGAAGCATGAGGGGGAGCAGAAGGCAGGCTGCCTGCCTGAGGCTCCTTCTGCGCCATGGGACAATGGCAGAGGCTGGGTCCATGGGCTGCATTTTGCTCGCCCCACTCTACAATCTGAAAAAATCAATTGTATAAATTCACCTTCATGCAACTCCACCAATAATAGCAACAGCAGAAGACAATGTAAATTGGGGTTGGGAAAATCCTGCCCATGGTCCGTATCCAGCCCGTCATTTTCCTCCAGCCCACCATGACCCTATGGGCTGCTAAAAGCTCTGCGGGACAGCCTCTGTCTGCTTGCCGCAGCCCCAGCCACACTGTTCCCGGAAACAACTAGCTACCACTAGCAAGTGTGTTTCTGAGCATCCCTTGGGGTACGGAGGATGGGTGTCTCCACACATTGCCCCTGTACTCCCTCACCATCCTCAAAGTTCCCATAGGTTGATTTCCAGCCAATGGGAGCTGCAGGAACAATGCTTGGAGACACGCTGTCCCCCTAAAGAAACAGAGATGTATTTGCCACAGCAGCAGCTGGGTGCTTTGAGTGGCAAGGGGCCACCATGGCATGCAGGCAGCCTGCCTACCTGAGTTCCCTGCTGCACTGCTGGATGAGAGCTGCCTACGATAAGCACCTCTCAGCCAGGGCCAGAGCCTGCACCTCATGCTCCCCAACCCACTGCCCCAGGTCAGAACCTCTTCCTGCACTCAAACTCCTTCCCAGACCCTGCACACCTATTCCAAGCCTGGAGCTCCTTTCCATGTCCTAATTCCATCCTTGATCCCACATCCCCTCCATTTACATAAAACGGCAGCCTGTGACCAATGTTCCTTCTAATCTTTTCTATCCATGTGCAGATTTTTTTTTTCCAGCCATGTGTACCACCAATTGAAAGAAAAATCAAGCTATGGGCACTCTGCTAATCAGCTGGGGAGTATTTGATTCTTTCCTGGGTGGCCATACAAGCACACAACTTACAGGGAACGCTGCCCGTGACTGCTTATTAAAACTTTTGGGTGTCTCCCCAGCAAATATTACTGGTCATACTTGATGTATACAGAGTACTTATGTTTTTGCCACCATGTCATTCATTCCCACACAGGCACTTCTATGATATTCAGAATAAGATTAGAGAACAAGTAGGGATGTAAAATTCCATTTAATTGGTTAACTGGTTAAACATATTATTTAACCAGTTAACTGACTTTTAAAAAAAAAAAAAAAAACGAGAGAGAGGGGACAGGCAAAGAGAACCACTTGACCCTGCTGCAGCTGAAGCAGCCATCCCACCCACCACTGGGCTGAAGCGCACTCCCTCCACAGGTAGGCATGGGCCTCCTGGAGAAGCCCCTGCCTGCGGGGGGATCCACAATGGACAGGGGCCACTCTGGACAACTGCCTGCTGCTGCTCCAGCCCCAAGCAGTTAACCTTGGCCTATTACCAGTTAACGTGTTAAATATTCACATCCTTAATGACAAAATAGTAATAACATTTTGGGCCTGCATAACTTCCACATTAGTGTCACTAATGGAGAAATAGGAGTTAAAATTTTGGCAGTGTAGATGAAGTTGTGGAAGGTAGGTGAAACAAAGGTAATGAATATGGTTGTTCAGTTGCACAAAGGTTTTGACATCTGCAGCTGTGTACAGAAAAACTAACAAACAATCTCAATACATATATTTTCATGATATTGTGGTATAACTGGGAGTCAGCAGACTAACACACCATCCAAGATTTTGAAAATTGCTTCATTTAAATCCATCTATACGGAAAACAATGCTGAATACTACTGCCACCACCATGGGTGGTTTATGTACTTTCCTTGGGATTTTTGTAGGAAATGGTGTATTCATTTTTCTCTATATTTAATAAAATTAATCTTTTAAAGAATCCCCACCAAACAGGAATAAGGATTATATTTACATTATTATGTACTGTATAACAGTGGCAAAATAGCACCTACTATTATACCGTCACATTACTATAATACCAGTGGTTCTCAATCTTTTTGATACTGGGGACCAGTAAACCCATTCACAATCTTTTGGAGGACCGGTAACATTTATTTGAAGGGCTCAACAAATAGTGTAATCTACTCGCCCATGGCGAGTAGATTACACCCCAGAAGAGCCGGCGCGGAGCGATCTGCGCATGTGCAGGACGATCTGCGCGTGTGCAGAGGGCAGAACCGTGCAGCTGGCGAGCAGAGCTCGCTGACGCTCGGCGAGCCCTGTTTATTTTCATATTAATTAAGCAAATGATGAATATGCAAATAAATGTTTCTGGTCCTCCCAAAGCTCCTGGTGCCAACTTTAGCAAAGCTTTTGATACAGTCTCCCACAAAAGCGACGAGGAGTCCTGTGGCACCTTATAGACTAACTGAAGTGTAGGAGCATAAGCTTTCGTGGGCAAAGACCCACTTCGTCAGATGCAGACTAACACGGCTACCCCTCTGATACTAGTCTCCCACAGTATCCTTGCCAGCAAGTTAAGGAAGTATGGATTGGATAGATGGACTCTAAGATCGATAGAAAACTGGTTAGACTGTTGGGCCCAGGGTTTCCCAAACTTTATATAGTTGGAACCCGGGTTTTTTTTATTATTTTTGGGCCGCAAAACAAGGTAAACACACATATAAACTTGGTTGAGACAGGAGGTGCGGGCTCTGGGGTGTGAATGAGGGATTTAAGAGTGAGAAGTGCAAGTTCTGGGAAGGAATTTGAATGCAGGAGATGTGGAGGAGATGCTGGCTCAGGGAGGGGGCTCCAGACTGGGGAGTGTTGGGGTGCTGAGTAAGCCACAGACTTGTGGAAGTGAGGGTGCAGGATTTTGGGGATGAGAGAGGCTCAGGACAGAGGGTTCCAGTGTATGATAGGCTCAGATTTGGAGTTGGTGGGGAGTTCAGGAGTATTATGGTGCTGCGGCCAGATGACGAGTTGGCCCCAATTGGGGG